GTAACCCTGAACTTAAATAAAAGTAGGAAATAAAATAAATAAAAGTAAAACTAAAAATTAAAACATTAACTTTCAAAATGCTCTTTCTTATTCTTTTATAACAAGAAAAAAAATTTTTTTTGAGATGGAGTTTCACTCTTGTTAACCAGGCTGCAGTGCAATGGTGCAATCTCAGTTCACTGCAACCTCCACCTCCCAGGTTCAAGTGATTCTTGTGCCTCAGCCTCCTAAGAAGCTGGGACTATATGCACGCGCCACCAAGCCCAGCCAATTTTTTGTATTTTTAGTAGAGACGGCGTTTCTCTATGTTGCTCAGCTGATTTAGAACTCCCCCGACCTCAGGTGATCCGCCAACCTCAGCCTCCCAAAGCACTGGGATTACAGGCGTGACCCACCGTGCCTGGCCATATAACAAGAAATTTTAAAACAAATTTACAATGTCTTAAATGTGCTTCATTTTTCCCCCCCCCCCCCCCCCCACAAAAAAAAACCAACAAATAGCCAAACCTGTGTAGGCCTGTGTTTTATTGTTTGATTTTTTTTTTTTTTTTCATTAAGTCCAAACTCTTAGGATTCCTGTGGGCCTGTTTGGTATTTGAAATCTCAACCTTTGGAAAAAACACTAGATTTCTTGGAGGAATATTGGGGCCTGCCATGAGCAATAATCTTTGTCAGGGATTCTGTGATTGGCACACTGAGTCTTCAAATAGGAGATTGTCATGATGTCTGTGGTACCATTTAGTCTTTCCAATTAAAGAAACCTACTAGAGTTCAAGTCCCGTAATACTGTGACCTTTTTTTTACTTATACATATCATGGCAATGGTGCCCTGTGGTTTCATTGGGTTGTAGGCAGTTCACTATTTGCACTTATGAGAAACAACTTGATGTTCCTTTTTTTTTTCTTTGAGAGAGAGTCTTGCTCTGTTGCCCAGGCTGGCATGCAATGGTGCAATCTCGGCTCACTGCAACCTCCAACTCCTCGGTTCAAGTAATTCTCCTGCCTCAGTCTCCTGAGTAGTTGGAATTACAGGAGCTTGCCACCACACCGAGATAATTTTTGTATTTTTAGTAGAGATGAGGGTTTCACTATGTTCGTCAAGCTGGTCTTGAACTCCTGACCTTGTGATACACCCACCCCCGCCTCCCAAAATGCTGGGATTACAGGCATGAGCCACCGCTCCTGGCCCACAACCGGATGTTTCAAGATATGTCAGGCTATTCTCAGACATGCTATAAGCATGAGAATGTGTCCAGATTTTTGGTTTATGTTTTTCAACATCAGTGGGCTAAAATTGGACTTGTGTTAACATAATTAATCTCTATATATGTGGAATAAGAATTTTCATACTATGTTAGAACAATAACTCTTCTCATCTCAAAGTTAGCAATACTAAAGATTGCCTTGTCTTTTTGTCAAATTCATTTATTTTTCTAGTGTTATATAGAACTGATGAACTTGAATATTGAGTACAGCTTTCTCCCTTTATCGAGAACAAATTGATTAAAATGTCTGTGTTAGTATTTCTGTCACTGGAATTTATGCTGCCAAAGAATAACTAATGCTTTCCAGTATCAAGTGTGTGTGTGTGTGTGTGTGTGTGTGTGTGTGAAAGAGAGAGAGAGAGAGAGAGAAATTGAGTGTGGAGCTATCAAACTTGTACATACCCTTGACCTCACTGTCCCCATTTTCTTTTTTTTTTCTTCCTTTTTTTTTTTCTTGAAACGGAGTTTCACTCTTGTTACCCAGGCTGGAGCGCAATGATGCGATCTCCGCTCACCACAACCTCCGCCTCCTGGGTTCAGGCAATTCTCCTGCCTCAGCCTCCTAAGTAGCTGGGATTACAGGCATGCGCCACCGTGCCCAGCTAATTTTTTGTATTTTTAGTAGAGACAGGGTTTCACCATGTTGACCAGGATGGTCTCCATCTCTTGACCTCGTGATCCACCCGCCTCGGCCTCCCAAAATGCTGGGATTACAGGCGTGAGCCACTGTGCCCAGCCTGTTTTTTCTTGAGATGAAGTTTCACTCTTATTGCCCAGGCTGGAGTGCAATGGTGCAATCTCGGCTCATCACAACCTCCGCCTCCCGGGTTCAAGCAATTCTCCGGCCTCAGCCTCCCAAGTAGCTGGAATTACAGGCATGCACCACCATGCCCTGCTAATTTTTGTATTTTTAGTAGATACAGGGTTTCTCCATGTTGGCCAGGCTGATTTCAAACTCCCAACCTCAGGTGATCTGCCTGCCTCGGCCTCCAAAAGTGTTGGGATTACAGGCATGAGCCACAGTGCCCGGCCAACTGTTCTTGTTTTCTAAGGTGATGGTGTGTTCACTGAAAGCTGATCATGCTGTAGGTGGGAGGGAGGGCAGTTATAAACTGTTAAGAGAAGTCTTGTATACCAGTATTTTCATCTAATTGAAATAATGGCACATGACATACACCGCCCCCCACCCCCGAATCAGTACCTTAAAGCCACATAAATTATTTCTGCAGGGCATGCTGGTTGGGTATGGCGACTCTGCTGTTTGTGGCTGAGCTCATTCATGAATTTGTGGGAAGGCTTGAGTTTCTTGGTTTAGCTGGGCACAGCGGGGCAGTTCTGCTTTAAGCTGTAGGATTGAGGATTGGTCAGGAAATTGTTCCACATGTTTCTCATCCTTCTGGGAGCAGCAGGCCAACTAGGCGAGATCTTCCAGTGGCACAGCAAGAGACCGAGAAGGCGCGCGGAGCCAAGCAAATTCATCTGAAGTCCCTGCTTGCCTCGTGTCTGCTAATATCCCCACAGCCAAAGAAAGCCACAAGGCCAGACTCAAGGCCAAGAAGGAAGGGAAACAGCTTTCTCCCATAGCAGTTAGGAGGCTAGGAGAAGAACTTTTTGAACAAGAATTGAATCTGCGACACTTTGGTAGGTTTAAATATTGCTTGAAGAAACTACTTCTGCCTGGCCTGTTGGCTCACGCCTGTATTTCCAGCACTTTGGGAGGCCAAGACAGGTGGATCACCTGAGGTTAGGTGTTCGAGACCAGCCTTGTCAATGTGGTAAACCCTGTCTCTACTAAAAATACAAACATTAGGCAGGCGCGATTGCACACGCCTGTAATCCCAGCTACTCGGGAGGCTGAAGCAGGAGAATTGCTTGAACCCAGGAGGCAGAGGTTGCAGTGAGCCAAGATTGTGCCACTGCACTCCAGGCTAGGTGACAGAGTGAGATCCTATCTCAAAAAAAAAAAAAAAAAAAAGAATATTAAAAGAATGATAATGAAAAATGATGCATAATGTGTGGGATGCACCTGAAGGCCTAGAGCAAAATATAAATGCACACTTTTGAAAAAAATATATAAAAAATGTCTAATATTCATCAAATAAGCTAGGAAAAGGATAGCAAATTAAACCCAAAGAAAAATAAGAAATGAAATAATCCCAACAGCAGATATCAAACAGCAAACATAATAAAAAGAAAATCAATAAAGCCAAAGTTGAGTTCGAAAATTCTAATAAGATATAAATTACTAGAAAAACTGACATCATAAACATAGAAAAACACAAATTGACAAATCCTACATCTATTAAAGCAGTTAATAAGAGAATCTAACAAGTAACTTACACCAGAATTTAAAGAGTTACTGTCAAATGGACACGATTCTGCAAACAAAAAGGGTAATTTAGTAAAATCAAAATAAGAAGAAAAATAAAATCTGACAAACCTTTCCACAAACTACTCTCATCCCTCCCCCCACAAAATTCTAGGCCCAGCTATTTTTACTCATCAATTCTTCTAACATTTAAGGAAGAATCTCCTCCAGTTAGTAGAAAATGTGGGTATGCTTCTCTTTTTCTATGAGCTAATAAAGATGAATAGACATGAGAAAGGTTTCTAAGGTGTTACTAATATTTTCCATCTTGATCTGGGAGGTGATTTCACAGGGATATTCACTTTGTAAAGTCTACTGAGCTGATGGCCAGGTGCGGTGGCTCACGCATGTAATCCCAGTACTTTGGGAGGCCAAGGTGAGTGGATCACCTGAGGTTGGGAGTTCAAGACCAGCCTGACCAACATGGAGAAACCCCATCTCTACTAAAAATACAAAATTATCTGGGCGTGGTGGCGCATGCCTGTAATTCCAGCTTCTTGGGAGGCTGAGGCAGAAGAATCGCTTGAAGCTGGGAGGCGGAAGTTGTGGTGAGCTGAGATTGTGCCATTGCACTCCAGCCTGGGCAACAAGAAAAAAAAAATTTACTGAGCTCTGTTTTGCACTTAACATTTATGTACTTTGTGTGAGTTATATTTCAATAAAATTTTGCCAAGATATGAGTAATATAGGATAAAATTATATATAATTTCATGTATATATGAATAACATTATTATGTATTATATATACATGTAATATAATCTATATATGTATGTGTATATATATAACATATAGCAACATATATCTGTACCTATAGATATAAAACATTATTTTAATGTGTTTTAAAATATTTTATATATATGTACACACACATATATAATGGTCTTTTTTTTTCTGAGACAGAGTTTTGCTCTTGTTTCCCAGGCTGAAGTGCCCATGATGTGATCTTGGCTCACCGCAGCCTCAGCCTCCCAGGTTCAAGCGATTCTCCCACCTCAACCTCCCATAGCTGGGATTAGAGGCATGAGCCACCACGCCCAGCTAATTTTGTACTTTTAGTACAGACGGGGTTTCTCCGTTTTGGTCAGGATGGTCTCAAACTCCTACCTCAAGTGATCCGCCCACCTTGGCCTCCTAAAGTGCCAGGATTACAGGCGTGAGCCACTGCACCCAGCATAATCATAATGTGCTTATAAATAGGAGGAGAGCCGTTTTTTTCTTATGCTACTTCAAAAGATGTGATTTTTAGTCCCTTATGTGACATCACTGCTAAATTAAGAGCTGGTCCCTAAATTATATATATATATATATACACACATATATAGGCATAACTGGAATCAGTGAAGAATATGGATGCTATTTCACTTACCCATGTAATCCGTATCCACGTGCGGATCAGCTCAGGTGTTGGTAATGACTATTGTGTTGACGGGAGCTCCAAGATAAGTGCCAGTAACAATTAACGTACAGGACTGTACCATAAAAACAAGTTGTTCATGCAACAAACTTCACGGGAACACAAAAGAATTACAGGAATTGTCTCTTATCGTCAAACACATCACTGTCCTTTGAAATCAAGGGGTTTATTGTTTAATACCTGAACTGTTTATTTACCTGTCTACAAAGCAGGTCACAGTTTTGTTTTAGTTTTTGTAGTTTTGCCAAGCAACTTAGGGTCACGAAATTTCATAAGTACAGATCACCCTCTCAAAAGAAGGCAGGGTAAGGCAGCCTCTCTCTAACACACAAAGGACATTCCGAGCTAAAACGATGCCCTCGTTACACTTCGGAATGAAACAAAACGTAAAAAAAAAAAAGTCTCTATTCTGAAGGTGGTATACACACTTGGAATTAAGATCAAATGTGTGAGCTATTTATATTTCTTCTGATAAACTGAATTTTTCACAATTTTGAATCTAATACTTTCCTTAGGTGGTACAAGGAGAAAAGACTGGGAAATATCTCAATTGGCAGTCAGAACAAGTCTCTGAATTGGTCGGAAGGACATGTTTTTTTCTATATCCAGCCAAACAAACTATTTGTTTTTGTGTGCAAGCAAGCCACATCAAATCCCAGCCATCCAGATCTACCATGCTGCCTGTAGTTAGCCTTTGTCTTTAGTTTTAACTCCACAAAGTGTCAAGGAAACAGACACAACTCTTTTGATCTCAGTGAAATCTATGCCCACAGATGCAGCTCTCAAATTTGTGTTATTAGCTGTTCTGACTCTATTCACCAATCTAGAAATGATAAATATTCAGACTTTGTTTCCTTTCTTGTGTCAAAAAGCTTTCCCCAAGTAGCATTTACATTGAAATCTGGAAATGTGGCTAAAAGTCTTTGTGTGTGTGTGTGTGTGTGTGTGTGTGTGTGTGTGTGTGTGACAAGGTCTTGCTCTGTCACCCAGGCTGGAGTGCAGAGGTCCTTTGAGGCTCACTGGAGCCTCAAACTCCTGGGCTCAAGTGAGCCTCAGCCTCCCAGTAGTCTTTGCAGACAGTCCGATGGAGTCTCATGTCACAGAAGATTAATTAAACAATGTCTTTTAATTTTAATAAATTTTTGCAATTCCTCCTCCTGTCCAAAAAAAAAAAAAAAAAAAAAAAAGCCTCATTCAACCACAGTAAGAAAAAGATGACAGGATTGTCCAGCAGCATTTCTACTTGACTTTGTAGTATAGTCATTTAGGGCGAGGAAACTTGGAGAATCAAACTGTTGGTGTTAAATTGGTTAAGCTTATCATTTTAGGGAACTCCGTTCTGATCTTCATTAAGGAAACCAGTCTATCCACGGGGAACTCATTCCTAGGAGAGACGGTAACGCCAACACTAGTGCATTAATTGCCTGATGTTCAGAGCTCAGGCCCATTCCCTTTTGGTTCTGAGGTTTTGACCGATCTGTATATTCTGGCTTTCAATAAAGGCCTGTCACAGAAGAAAGACGGAAAAAGGACGCTGAGCATGAAGTCAGTCATAAACTAAGTGGTTCTTCAGGCTTTTGCTGCTTTGCCATGAAATTTGCATCTTGTAAAAACTGGATCTGTGCTCCATGCACAACAGATGCTTCATATTTGCCAAATAAAGTTTCGGTACCTCTGCGTCTTGTTCACTGACTTTCCTCTGTGATGCATACCTCTTCCCTGACTGTAAGTCACAGCGCTCTTCCTGTTCCGATGATCATCTTAAAGTGACTGGAAATCGTTGGCTTCAGAAATGCTATTATTTCCTTCTGCTTCTGGAATGTGATCAGATGAGATCATTCCTATAGCAAAATAGGATTGAGAAATATTTTAGAGGCTGAGAGATATTGCTTCATGCCACACCAGGTAACTCTTTTTTTTTTTTTTTTTTTTTTTTGAGACGGAGTTTCGCTCTTGTTACCCAGGCTGGAGTGCAATGGCGCGATCTCGGCTCACCGCAACCTCCGCCCCCTGGGTTCAGGCAATTCTCCTGCCTCAGCCTCCTGAGTAGCTGGGATTACAGGCACGCGCCACCGTGCCCAGCTAATTTTTTGTATTTTTAGTAGAGACGGGGTTTCACCATGTTGACCAGGATGGTCTTGATCTCTTGACCTCGTGATCCACCCACCTCGGCCTCCAAAAGTGCTGGGATTACAGGCTTCAGCCACCACGCCCGGCATAACTGTCTTAATCAAATAAAAGACATAAGAAAGACACAGTGATGTGATGCTTTTCCAAGATCTTATCAATTGAAACAAATGCAACCAATAAGTAGAGATGGAAGAAAAATGTCCATGTGTTTACATGTCAGTTTACATGTTTGTGGTATGTCACTGTAATCTCTTAGGTTTTATTGTTGTTGTTTTTCTTTTTTTGACATAGTCTCGCTCTGTCCAGGCTGCAGTGCAGTGGCGAGATCTCGGCTCACTGCAACCTCTGCCTCTTGGGTTCCAGTGATTTGTTTGCCTCAACTTCCCAACTAGCTGGGACTACAGGTGCGCACCACCATGCCCAGCTAATTTTTGTATTTTTAGTAGAGACGGGGTTTCACCATGTTGGCCAGGATGGTCTTGATTTCTTGACTTCATGATCCACCCATCTCGGCTTTTCAACGTGCTGGGATTACAGGTGTGAGCCACCACGCCCGGCCCCAGATATTTTATTCATCCATATTTTTTCTTTGAGGTAGGACGGGAAAGAAATGATTCACCATGCCTACTATTTCTTTTTTCTTTTCTTTCCTTTTTTTTTTTTTTTTTTTTTTTTTGAGACGGTGTTTCGCTTGTTACCCAGGCTGAAGTGCAATGGCACGATCTCGGCTCACCTCAACCTCCGCCCCCTGGGTTCAGGCAATTCTCCTGCCTCAGCCTCCTGAGTAGCTGGGATTACAGGCACGCGCCACCATGCCCAGCTAATTTTTTGTATTTTTAGTAGAGACGGGGTTTCACCATGTTGACCAGGATGGTCTCGATCTCTTGAACTCGTGATCCACCCGCCTCGGCCTCCCAAAGTGCTGGGATTACAGGCGTGAGCCACCGCGCCCGGCCCCATGACTACTATTTCTTTAGGACACAGTTAATCACCTTCCCTCACCAATAACCTTGCCTCACACTATGTTCTCAAGGTTTGCAAAACTCATCACCCAACAAACAAAAAAAGATGAAAAACAAAACAAAACGAACGCAGCAACTCTGTTCCGTATAAGAGTCACTCACCTGTCATGCATGCAAAATAGTTATTTAAAGGGAAATTTCATGAACAAAATGGAAAATCACGCATTTATATTTGGGGGAAGAGAATGCATAGCTTTCTCAAGGCAATTCAATGCTCCCAAAAGGTTAAAAGCCGCTGCATCTCCAATTGCTTTTTCTTCAAACACCTCTAATCTCCATTTTCCAGGTAAAATATTGAAGCTTTCGGCTTCTGCTGCTTGCCTACACCGGAATCTTTTCTTTTTATTCTCTAAGTTATCAAAATAAAGGGATCATGTTGTTCTACATTTCTGGTTATTCTTGTCTATGTCTGGGTAACTTTCAGAAAAGCAGAAATGTGTGTCTGGCCTCTCATCTGACTCTTCTGGGGCTGGCAGAGCAGTGTCTGCCCTTCCCACTTGTTAACAGGATTTTCTTTTTCTTAAATCTTATCTGTTTCTGGGATGCTTTAAAATAGTCACTTTCCCCCTTCTCTTTCAAATATCCCCAGCTTCCCTAGCTCAAGGGGATTCATGCAAATTTTCTGTTCTCTGGGAGATGCCTGCTGGTAGATTCTGAAAACTTCTCAGCTTTTATCCTCCCATTGTGAAATACAGTGATAATTTCAGGCTTATCTGAAAGGATGTTTTGTTGTCATAATTCACTTCAGTTGTGGAAGCGGAATATCCTTTAATGTAGAAAACATTAAGTGTATGGAGAATTTGCTCTGCAGCTCCAGAGAAGTTTTTAGGATGTCAGTAGTTGGAATTGCTATATTCCATCTACCAAAGAAAGATCCAGTCTCCTTAATCTATCCCCCCCACTTTGATTACATCAGACCACAAAGCCACCCAGGTAGCCTACAGCCTGGCCATATTTGCCAAATGTATACTTGGTTTAGCCAAAGATACCAGCGTAGGGCCACCCATGGTTTTCTCACCAGATCTCCTCCGGAGATGATTTGTCAACAATTGGGCAAGAGGACAGTGGACTGGGATAAAATTCAAACTTTGAAATTAAGATTTTTCAAAGCATTTAAAAAACATTTTGAAGGACTGTAATGAAACATCTCTTGGCAACAGTAAATTTTTCTCTCTCTCTCTTTTTTTTTTTTTTGCCAGTAGGTTCACATTTTAAATTGGTAAAAATTGGTATGATGAGTATGATTTCACAATTTATGTATTAGAGTAGACGGAGATTAATTGTTTAGCTAATCCTACTCATCTTCCTAATCAGTTAGTGTTTGCTAGTGGGAAGCCAGAGGCAGCCAAATGGCTCACTTACCAATGAGGCAGGGCAGAAAAGTTGCTTCAGAGAATGTTCTTGCTTACTCCTAAGTTCTGCTAAAACTTTAAGTGACTGTGAACTCCTTAACTTTGCTCCACTTGAAAATACATTTGAGGCAGGGCACGGTGGCTCATGCCTGTAACCCCAGTGCTTTGGGAGGCTGAGGTAGGCAGATCACCTGGGTCAGGAGTTCAAGACCGGCCTGGCCAACATGGTGAAACCCTGTCTCTACTAAAAATTCAAAAAAATTAGCTGGGTGTGGTGGTGGGCGCCTATAATCCCAACTACTCGGGAGGCTGAGGCAGGAGAATCACTTGAACCCGGGAGGTGGAGGTTGCAGCGAGCCAAGATCATGCCATTGCACTCCACCCTGGGGGACAGAATGAAACTCCATCTCAAAAAAAAAAAAGAAAGAAGAATAAGAAAAAAATACAAAAATTAGTTGTGTGTGATGGCATGTGTCTATAGTCCCAGCTACTTGGGATGCTGAGGTGGGAGAATCGCTTAAGCTCTTGATCCCAAGAGGTCGAGGCTGCAGTGAGCCGTTAGCGTGTCACTGAACTCCAGCCTAGACAACAGAGCAAGACCGTGTCTCAAAAAAAAAAAAGAAAAGAAAAAGAAAGAGAGAAAAAGAAAATACCTGTGAGAGTTTTCCTCAAACCCAGTATTCTTTCTGTGAACAAAACCAACATTTGGAAACCTATTGGCCAGGTTTTTGGTAAGATGATTGCCCTGTTTCTGAGAAGGGACAGCCAAAGATAGTCAAGGTTGATTGCATGCAAGTCTGAACTCCGTGTCAGTGAACCATCTGGGAGCATGTAGAGCTTATAAATGCCGTTCAGTATTGAAGTTACTTTAATAACCTTGAACTCAGGAAGTTAAGTGTTAGGACCTTTGATCCTAATTTCTTATGGGGCTGATTTCATGAAAAATATAAACTTAGATAACCCAGCTTTGTAATATTTGACCACAAAACTGAATGATCAGCATAAGTACAACTTGCTGGTTATGAAAAATAAACCCGGTTAACAATCTGTTAAACTACGGAAAACACAAAAGAACAAAGGTACCTTTTAGGTTTTAGCACAAAGGTGAAAGAATACAAGTTATCTAATAAGTCAAGAAGATAAGACCAACGACCTCACCTCGCACCCTCTGTTCCTGCTAAGTCACTGGAAATCCAAACCTAATCAAATCCCCGAATCCCACCATCACTGACAGTGCTTATGGCTTACTGACTTCAACATAGATAAATGGCCCCATTAATGTCAGGGTAGTTACGTTTGTCTGAAGAATATATGTCTGTATTTTAAATTGCATTATCCAGCTTATCCATGGGATAAGAGTTGTTTACCTTTGCAAATTCCAG